GGATTATGTGGTAGCTTCTAAATATTTGTCTACTATTATAGTTTGCTCTTTGTTTGTAAATACCCCTTATGAGAACAAATGGAACTGTAGAGATACTCAGTGATATAGTGCATGTGTAGGTGCAGTTGAATAAAGTGGTGTTGAGCTTTTTTAACAACATAAGTATCTTTAGGCTTACTTTTATGGAAGACATTAGGACAGAAGGCTGTTGGCTGGGAGTAAAGTGGCTGAAGGCCAATTCATCAGATTTAGTTTAGTTTAGCATGTGAAGCCAGTGGATGATGTCCAGGGAGGTTCATGGTAGATAAACATGTCAGAGGAGTACTGATGTGCCAGTCCATTCTAGGCTTTGTACAGTTCACCATTCAAATCTTAACATCTGTTCTGAAACTGACAGACCAGTGTAGAGCATCACAAGAGAATCAGCCACACCAACAGCATCCAGCAGGAGCAAAGAGAACACACAGTAGCCCAACACAAGTTCCACATAGAAAAATAATAGTAATGGTAGTGGTAATAACACAAATATCAATAAATATGACTAATTGTAATAAAAATTATAGCAATAGTTATGATAATAATAATAAGACTAATAATAATAATTGTAGCAGTGGGTGTTGAGCAGGAACATGGAGGTGGCATGCCATACAAAGTGCTGGAAATTCAGGTGAAGTCCCACTGCAACGTTACAGTAACATTTTTCAGCTTGGCGTTGAACTAATCCATACTCCTTGCATTGTAACGTTGCACTGATTGCATTTAGCCGGCGGGATATATCAGCGTAGATCATCTGCTGCTTTTCAGTAACTATTTGTACATCTTTCACCAGAGAGACTCAGCAATGTCAGCACAACTAAATGTATTGAATAATAATAAAAACTGTTAGTGAGCTAGACTGAATATTATAATGAGATTATTGCCACACTTTATAACAATTAGGCTGTAGTAAGAACTTTACTGTAGTGAAGGGAAGTAATGTGGAAAGCCATACAACTGTAACATTTTAACAATAATATATAGATTTTAACGATAGAGATAACATTAGCAACTGCTCGGCATTAGCTAACGATCTACAGTAACTGGAGCCAAGTGATGCTACAGCCACACTGCTACTTTTATGTTTAAAAACAAGTTTTAAAATGAAAACAATCTCTGGCCTCACCAGCTGCGTATCAGAATTGATCTCCGTCTATATTACAACGAAACGAAAAAAATAAAAATAAAAATAAATATTACGACTGAAAACACTCATCTAGTGGCCATTTATGTACACTGGGCATGTGTGTGTCGGTGTAAAGAGGAAGCAGATTGTCTACTCCGTAGTTGCAGAATATCTGGCGAAAGAAGAAAGTTTAAAAAATGTTTAAACTTCTCCGTTTTAGTTCTTCAGATTGGCTGTTTTAGTCTGGATGGGAGGTGCAAACAGCAAAAGGTCAGCGTTTTAAAATGAAAACGTAGTAGTGTGGATGTGGCCTAAAGCACAACATCACAATATGTTTCACCTGCTTTCCAGTAATGTTAGTTTACCTGTCCAATAGGATGAAAGCCAACTATGTGTCGGTTTTGTCAGTTTCAAAACAAAGTGGAGAATCAAGCCTTTCTGATGAAACTTTTTTTTTGTTTTTTTATACTTACAGTACTATGGAATTTGCGTTGGAGTCTGTGTTGTGCTTTTTTGGTGGTTCATCATGGGAAGTCCCCCTGCAGTCTAGCCCTAGAGCAGTATAACTAAGGGATGGTTCAGGACTCACCTGAGCCAGCCCTAACTATAAGCTTTATCAAAGAGGAAAGTCTTAAGCCTACTCTTAAATGTGGAGATGGTGTCTGCCTCCTGAACCCAAACTGGAACCTGGTTCCACAGGAGAGGAGCTTGATAGCTGAACGCTCTGGCTCCCAGTCTACTTTTGGAGACTCTAGGAACCACAAGTAACCCTGCATTCTGGGAGCGCAGTGCTCTGGTGGGGTAGTAAGGTACTATGAGCTCTTTAAGATAAGATTTGTGCCTGACCATTAAGAGCTTTGTATGTGAGAAGAATGATTTTAAATTCTATTCAGGATTTTACAGGTAGCCAATGCAGAGAAGCTAAGACAGGAGAAATATGATCTCTTTTCCAGGTTCTTGTTAGTACATGTGCCGCATCTTAAGAGACTTATTTGAGCAGCCTGATAATGAAGCATTGCAGTAATCCAGCCTAGAAGTTACAAATGCAGTAACAAACTAGTTTTTCCACATCATTTTCAGACAGGATGTTCCAGAATTTATTGTGTTACGTAACTTTAGATAATGCAACTCAGAGGTGTTTGGGGCCAAGTTCAGTAACTTCAGTTTTATCAAGTTTAACATTAGAAAATTCCAGGTTTTTACATCCTGAAGACAGCTTGAAATGTAACCAATTGATGAGTTTCATCTGGCTTGATCGATGGATATAATTGAGTATCAGCTGCATAACAATGAAAGTTTATAGAGTGTTTCCTGATAATATTGCCTAAAGGGAGCATATATGAGGTGAACCTTTGGAACTGAGATCGATCTGATAAATAGGACTTAAACCAGCTTAGAGCAGTTCCATTAATGCCAATTAAATGTTCTAGTTTCTGTAATAGCGTGTTACGGTCAATGGTGTTGAATGCAGCACTAAGATCTAACAAGACAAGTACAGAGACAAGTCATTTGTCTGATACAATTAGGTTATTTGTAATTTCCCCCAGTGCTGTCTCTGTGCTATGATGCACTCTAAATCTTGACTGAAAATTCTGCTATGTAGAAAGTTACACAACTGATTGGTGACTATTTTCTCAAGGATCTTCAAAAGAAATAGAAGGTTAGATATAGGTCTATAGTTGGCTGAAACCCCTGGATCAAGAGTGGCCTTTTTAAGAAGAGGTTTAGTTACAGCTACTTGAAAGGACTGTGGTACATGGCCTGTGGATAAAGTTAAGTAGCCTAGTTGGGATTGGGTCTACAAGACAGGTTGATGGTTTAGATGAAGAAATGTAGTTGGTTAAGATCGAGGGAAGCAAGTTTATTACAGATGTAGCTGCCACAGAAAGTCTCATCAAACACTAGTACTGTGGTGGTGTTGGGATTCAGCAGAAAGAGGCTGAGCTTTGTAAGCCCAGCTGATCAGTCTTAAAGCAGATAATTCCTGCACCAACATCTGTCCTCCCGATGCTTAAAGAGACACAGCTCTGCCTTACTTCTCATCTCTCTCTTCTCCAACTCCTCACAGCCCCAGAAGGTTAGGCAGAGGGAAAGCTCAACACAAAGGTCTGCTGCTTTCATTCACCATGAATAGTGAAAGGCTGCCCTCTAGCAGCAAAAACAAACAAACAAAAAGAACACACTCCTAAACTGTGGTGCCATGTTTACCTCTGAGTATAACCCAGTAGAGTCCAGAGTCTCACTGCATGTGCTGAACTTAATAAAAAAAAGGTCCAATCAGTTTCTGGGGAGTGAAAGGGTGGATTTTTCATGTGTTTTCATTTCCAGTGTCAGTCACTAGAAATAAGAGTCCTTGTGTTGTCTTAAAGCAACACTTCCATATAATATGTAATATGTAAAAATATCACACATTATGAAAAATGCACTTTTTCATGCTTTTTCAACATAAACATGAATCCCTTGTCTAAAGACCCCAAACTATGAGAAAGAATTCTCTCTATTTTTCCATTGCTCTGTCTTTCAGTAAATGTTTGTGCAAACATGTTTGAATTTAGCAGCAGCCACAGTTAGCAGTAAAGTACAGTGTCTGCTAACAACAAGTAAAGCTATCTGTCCATCAGGAAAAGATGAAGCAGAGCTGCCGGAGGCCATCAGAGGAAACACTGAATGGAAAATATTTTCTCAATAAAATATGATCCAGTTTCACCAGAAAGTTGTCTTTTTGTACTGTAATCAGTGAGTCCTAGTCTTGCATAGCCAAGCCTATCTCCATACATTGGCTGTATTCAAAACCGCCTACTATACTTGCAGCACTTATGATTTTACCTAAATGTAGTATGGATTATGCAAATTTTATTTCATAACCCATACTACATATTCCAAAAATTTGCAGTATGTCAAAAAGTTGTACTGATTCTGAAAAAATCTCCAGACCAACCTTGCGTTAACATAAGCATTATTGTTTTGTTATGAGTAGAAGGATAAATGCAGCTAGCTGTAATGTTATGTTTATTACAGACCTTATCCTTACACAAGGTTAATTTAGGAAAAAAGTATTGTAATTGTAAATTGTACTTTCCAAAACTGGTAAGCCTGGCCTAGCATAGTGCAAAATAAATCGATTTAAGAGTTTCATACTGCATACTCCTAAGAAACGCAGTCAAAAAAATTAAAATAAAAAAATTAAAAAAAACGCAGTCACTGGTAGTAGGCGGTTCTGATTCCAGCCATTTATTCAGCAGCGCTGTGCCAGCTAGTTCCTGCCCCTCTGTAGGCTTCCAGAAGTTGGCCAATCAGAAGAAAGTGTCCTTTTAGGGAGGGGGACCTTAAAGAGAGAGGAGCTAAGAGTGTTCAGATAGAGGGTGAATGGAGGTGCTGAAGCTATGGATGTGATGACAAAAATAATGTGATTTATATTAACACATGCAAAAATTTTCTAGTAATTTTCTAGCTGTAAAAGTATGAACCTGAAAATGAGCAAAATATTGGACCTTTAATAGCTAACAAAAGTGTACCACCCTGCCAAAGGAGAGAGAAGGGAGATGGGGACATAAGACAGAGAAGGTGTGCGGTGGACTAGGACCAGACCACTGAGCAACTGGTCCAGACCACCAGGACTATGTAATGGACCACTGAGTAACTGGTCCTGACCACAAGGACCACACGACAGACCATAACCACTACAAACCCTGCTGGGATATTGGTACAGACACACTTCCTTCCCAATTCTACACCCACGGCCAAATCAGTTGCAGAGGTGCATATGCTTCAAACATAAGCTTTTTAAATTATAGATTGAGGACTTGACTTGATTGACTTTGATTTTACAAAGGAAAAGTAAGGTCATCACACTTTATTCATATGGTTAGCTTTTTAACAGAGTTTTCAGCTGCATCTTATGGTCTTCCTCATCAGATGGAGATTGCTCAGTATAACATAATATAAGTTGAGTGTAGAACATTGGTTACATGACAATGTGCTGTCCTATATGGAGCAGAGATGTCTCTGTTCAAAGATGGTCTTCGGTGTTAGATGTGAAAGGCCTCTCTGATCTTTCTCCAGTTATCCAGTGACCTGGCCGATGACCATTGACCTCTTCTAGGTCAATTCTGTGAGCAGATTTGTTTTGGTGTGATGTTGTCCTGCTCCTGGTGTTCATTCAGTCTCTTGTCCAGAGCCCTTGCTGTTTCAGCAGAGATCTTAAGGTGCTAAGTGATTTGTGGTAAGTGAGTCCTTGTGGAAGACTCTGGCCAGATGACAGTCACATAATTGAGTCCCACTTGGATGCAGTTCCTTTTAGCATAAAAGTGAATTCTTGTCCTTAGGAACAGCTCTCAACCAAATCTCCATCTGTGTGGATGGATGTAAAAAAATAAGTCATCTTTAATCATGGCATTACAATAACACAATTGCAACAAGGGAAATTCCCAGGGCAAGGGTGGTGGTAGTCCCAAATGTAATCAAGACGTCCACATTCCGTTCTGAGTTTATTTAGGCCATCAGTGAGTCATCAGAGCGAGCAACGTTTTAAAAAACTTTTCTCCAAGACAAAGAGAACAGCAGTAAATGGCCTAAATATTCAGCAGGCTGTGCACTTTCAAATGTTGATACCTTCAATCAAGACCGCTGTTCAACATAATGTGGAATAGATGTTCTGTAACTTTATTAGCCTTTAACATAGAACATTTACAGTAAAACATAAAGTTGTTGTATGGGAGGGGGAATTTAATTGGTAAGAGTGAGGAATGAGTGTGAGAGGAGGACATGAGCAGTAAGACAGAGCCAGAGACAAAGCTGAAAACAAGAGAGGCAGAAGGTGAATGTAGCACTATTCTATTCTGCCGCAGCCTACCGGGCGGGGGAGGGGGTTTACTGCCGTGGAGCCCGAAGCTTGACGCGGGACGTTTCTGGTCTCGAGCACCGCGGATTTACTCCACCTGGCACGCGCACGACGATGGAAATGAATATGGAATGATAACGACCAACAGCGCAAGATGGGCAGGCGTTGAGATCAGCTTTAACTTCCTCCGGTGGCGGCTCAGCTTCGAAATGGTAGGACAAAACCTGTTCCGGTACAATAATGTAGTGGAGTGTCCCTTCCTATTGGTGTGCTGTTCCGTGTTTTCCAAAAAGACGCAATGCGAGGAGTTGAACGACTAACATTTGCTATGCCGCTGAAAGTGGAGCCGAAAGCGTCAGTAGTTGCATCAATTTCTCTAAATGTCAAGCCTATTTTCTCTGTCGCTCTCTCTTTTAGTTTGTAGCATCGGCCGAACTGTAGTCCATGACGTTCTATGGAGAGAATCAGTCGCTAAATTACATTTAAAAAATGACAAAATATCCCTTGCACGCCGGCGAATATACACAGCTGGCACAGCACACCTTAAAAACAATTTTGAATTGTCAGGATCCCCCGATACATTCGGCACACAGACACACACGACACGCAAAACACCACATACTTTAGTAAAAGCTTAACTTTCAGAATCGGTTCACTCGTTCTTCCAACTGGCGTCTTGCGTCAAACAGTGTGTAGGGCGGAAGCCACAATCGTGAAACGATTATAAAACTTGATATTTTGTTGACATAAAGCTCTTTTTGAGTATTATATATGCGCCGAATTTGCCATAAGGCCTTCAGACAGAAGAGGATTTTTTGTTTCTCACGAGATAATAAGTGTGTCTGAAATTAAACAAGTCAACTTTAAAATCCCACAGTTTTGAATTAAGTTTGGAGAAACATCGTCTCTGTGCTGGAGAACGGGGCGTATTGGCGTTACACAGGATACCACCCGCAAATGTGGGTTCCGACCACTGGCGGCGCATGGGTAAGCGGCCAACATGCAGTGTTGTGTGTTCCGGCTGAAAGTTGTTGAGTTTGGGGCTTTTAAAGAAGAGCGTGCAGCGGCAGTCCCGGCTACCCCCATTCCGTTCCTCGTACGGGACGGGGGAAGGCCAAGTCGAAGTGTGTGTGTGTGTGTGTGTCTGTGTGTGTTAGTCAGCAGAAAATGGCCGCAATCGGAGCCTGCGGGCAGAGTTAGTATAACAAGCCGACAGAGGGCCTCCTGTCCCGGCATACAGCTGGGGCAGAGAGCCGCTAGGAGAAACACAGCTAGTGGAGGGAATCCTCCTGCATCCGCAGCCCCATTGGAAACACACACTGGAAGATTCGAGTTCAAATGGGGAAGTGAGCCTCTTGACAACAGCTCAGATGCCACTGTAGCCAAGAAGAAATAAATGTTGCAGCTCCATTAGATGAGATGTGATTCACCTTGAGAATAGAATGTATTATAATATATAATATAATATATATATATATATATATATATATATATATTATATAATTATAATATAATTTAGTGTTGTTGTTAAATCCTCCTGAACACAGCGTGCAATGTCCAAAAAGGAAGGCTGAATTAAAATGTAACAGTATTTGTTTATTGTCATTTATCATATGTCATTAAGGATCATAGGCTACTATTTTTCAAGAAAAAAACAAACAAAGCTTTAGCTTAAATGATGGCAGTAAGAGTAATGAGTTAAAATACTGATCATAATGACTTAAATACACTTTGTGCAGTGAAATGAAATGTGTTTTTATTAAAGATGTAGTATAGCCTATAGTGAGAACAGTTTATAGCATGACATGTATGGCCAACATGTATTTGTGGTTTCACTCATGCCTGAGGTAGGCTGGTAGCATTAAGGATACTGCTGGAACATATTGGAACCCATATGTGCATATAATCAATAACTCAGATTTAGGCACACGCTCGGTGGTGGTTGTGGTAAGAGTAATTGGCTTCGGGGGGCTGTAAAGAGTAACATAACAAGCTAGCTAACTAGCTAGCCAGTCAGCTAGCTGGCAGTATCAAAGTAAACAAGGGTCCTGGAATTGATGTTCCGGTCCTAGGATTGCGGTCCTGAACTGCAGCCTCCGGTACTGCAGCTACATGCTACTCCAGGCGACAGGAGTTGGGAGGGGAGAGTGAGATTGTAGCCGCTTTGATACGGAGATCAGTGCGGAAAGAATATCCGCATCTATAACGCATTCACTTCAACTAAAGTTTGCAGCTTTATCCCGTGTGAAAAGGCTTTTATCTCGCAATCATGTATGCTTTCACATGTGCGGTCCAGCTTTACTGGAACCAGCGGCGTGTTGGCTGTGGCTTTTCACAAACAGATCTTTTCTGTCTTGTGTCTGTCAACCAACTTTCACTGCTCAGAGACAAATAAAATCTGCTCCATACCTTTCATAAAGTGCAGCAAGCAGGCATATTGGCGAGATATATAGTGTTTTTAGCTTTTAGCTGGGTAGTTGGCGGTCCAGTCAGTGTCTGACACACTGTCAGATCTTTTAATGGCCCTGCTGTCCTCCCCAGAGATCAAGGAGAATGATCCATAGGCTGTATAAAAAATGTTGATCTCACAAAACCTGTCATGCTGTGGCACCAGGACTCTGTCAGAACCAGGCCAGAAGAGGGTGATTGTAGAAAGTGAGTGAATGAAGAGTGAGTAGTGGTAAGATTTAAGTTGAATGATTAATAAGCATAATTTTATAAAACAATTTTTAAGTTCATAAAACAATTTAATGTTATGTTTAAAGTACATTTATTAGCAATTATATAGAAATTGTTGAATCTAATCTAATGTTAAAACAAAATATCAGTTTCTGGCAGTGGTGGAGAAAGTATCCAGATCTTTTACATAAGGAAAAGTATCATGTAAAAGTCTTGTATTGAAAATGTCACTAAAGTAAAAGTACATAGCCTAAGTATTAATAGTAAAAGGATTCAGAGCAGAAAAATGTGCCCTACAAAATTACATTATTAGATTTCTTAATACCAATAAGTTGCATTTTTGTGTTTAAGTTGTTTGAGGTGTAGTTATATAACAATGCACTATATTGTATAAGCTGATCCTATATTTTTATATGTAAAAATCTTCTTAGTTAAGTAGCCTAACAAGTAGCTATTATCAAAATAATTTTGTTTAATTCACTATGAATTGCAGTGAAGTGGGATACAGGTATGAAGCGTAAAATGAAAATACTCACGTAAAGTAGGCCTACTTCAGATGTGTATTTAAAGAAGCCTACAATAGATAGGCCTACTAAAAGTAGCCTACACCTCTTGTTTTTGAAGCACCCTCCTAACCCTCCACTGTGTGACCAGCACCGTGTGTTTGAGCAACGGCAAAGCCTGGTAACAGACCGAAGATCTTGATCATCATCCTCTTCAAAAACACCATCATCAGGCTCAGTGTGTTCACCGAGGTTATATTTGGTGTCGTTTTCTCACCGGTTAAGGGAGCGGAGCAAATTAAGAACCTTCTCTAAGTGTACAGTTAAAATCCAAGTTGTTTTTTAGTACTGTAGTACAGCCACAGTGGGCGGTGGTATACTGTAGCATGAGATGAAATGTAGCGTGTGCTATGAGGCAGTGTGGAGAGGCAGAGTCCAGCAGCTGCTGCGGCTTTAAGCCCGTCGTTTGGGATGGGCTGAGTTCATAACGTCATTTCAGTCTCTTTCTTTTATTCTTCGCCCCCTCATCTCCTTCCCACTCTAAATGACACAGTCCCCGTGCTCCTGCACCTCCGGCCATATTCTCCTAAGAATGATTATTCCGAACTTTCTCTGGGTTTTTCTCCCTGCCGGGCATGTTTCCAGGGCCATAACTTTTCTGGCGTGTCATCATTTCTGGAGTTAACGCGGCAGAGTCATCCGAGGCGAGCGAGCTATCTCATATCTGGATTCTTGAACAGTTAAACAGCCCAGGAAATGCGTTTTCTCTAACCCGGAGGTACCGCTGCTCAGCGGGGATGAGCTTACAGAGAGCTGCAAAAACAGATGACGACGTTATGGAAATGTAAAATGTCAGCCCAGGGATCTTAACGCACGGCCTGATCTGATTCAGCTCCTTCTCTTCAAAATGATGTTTTCTCCTCTCTCCCTGTCGCAGGTAAACCGCACTGCTTCTCTGCTGTTAGCCTACCCTACATAGACATGAAGCTATCATGTAGTTAACTAATTATCCATGACACTTTTGATTTGATAATGCAGTGTGTATGAAAAAAACAAACAAACTATTTAATGAAATTCATTATTAATCATTTATACAATTTCAGCTATTCCTACCTCCAGTTGCTGTCTCTGTTCAGAACAGGGCTGACAGAGAGCTGAAACACATTAACTGCACCAGGCCTGTTGGACAGGGACTTGAATTAACATGTGGTAATTGGTTGGAACAAGCTGAAAGGAGTGTTTGAAAGATTGCAGTAGATATATCTTCTCTACAGTATGTTAGTCAGCTTGTCTGTTTACAGTATACTTTGTGTGTGCATGTGCTTTAGGCCTATGTCTATTTGGGGGACTAAACAGAAAGTTTTTCCTCTGTGCAAGTTCCTACCATATTCCTCTCCGTCGGTATGCTATGCAACACCGACGATAGAGTCTATCAGTGCTGCTACTGCATCATCAAAATGATCAGGTTCTCTGCATGTCATTTGGTTTTAGTAGTCTGATATGCAGATTTGGTAAGGAAGGACAGGATCAATTAAAATGGGTCCTCATTAGTTAATCGTGTGGCTCTGATGGGGCCAAAATCAAGTTTTAAGACCTTTTATCATCCATTATCTATAACCGCTTATCCTCTGAGGGTCTAGTAGGGGTACATCCTAGACAGGTTGCCAGTCACTCACAGAGCTGACACATGGAGGCACTCTATGCAGTTAACCTAACTTAACAGTCTGAACTGTGGGAGGAAGCCAGAGTACCCGGCAAAAACCCAAGCAGGCACAGGGAGAGCATGCAAACTCTACACAGAAGGCCCCAGCTGGACGGTGGGTTAGAACAAGGGCTGGGCAATAAAACATAATGATAATAATTGAGTTATAATTTTGCTCAATGACAATATAACAAATGTTCGATAAGTTTGATTTAATTCATTTGATTCGAACGAATTAGCATTTAATTTTTCTATTGATATTTATTTTGTTGAGGAAAAGGGACTGAAATAGATTTACTTAATTTTACTCATGCATATTTGTTAAGAAATGATTTTGTCATAGGCTAATAGTTTTTGAATGTTCTGTATGAGAACCTGGAGGCAACAGAGTGCACAATGCACAGGCGATTGTCATAAATAATAAATAAGACACACTAATTAGTCTTAGGACACCTGTAATAAAATGAGTTAATATAAGTCAGAGAAAGAAGGGCTGCGCTTTCGTGTCAAAGTCTATGTAGCTCTCATCCTATATATCTCGCGTGCTGGGATGCTGTCAGTTACACAGGAAGGTTGAGAGATAACATCAGTATGAGTGAGTAACATCAGAGTATGGCATTTTCCCCAGATGTTCGGCTCGCGTTAATTAGTGTACAGCAAACAACTGACCAACTTATATCTACTGCAGTATTTCACTGATAAAAAGCAGCACTCACTGTAGAAGTCAATCGGAAATCTTTTCATTTAGTTAAGCTGACTGGGGCAGGTCTGAATTGAGTCATTGAGTACTTGGTTTCCATGGCAAGTAGCATGCCAAAGTTTGCTTACTGAGCCTCCTGTAAATGCCACAGTTTGAGACTGTTTTCCAAAGATTAGGTGGCGTTTGTTGTTGGATGGGTTGTTGGACTTTTTGAGACGAAACGGGCAAGTACTACAAAGAGTTTTCTCCTGTTGTTTTACATAGTCTTTGAGTCATAGTTCACTTGTTCATCAGTCAACTGGAATTTTAGCATTTAGACTACTTGTTAGTCATTTAAATAATAATATAACAGTTTAAAACAGTAGACATCAAATCTAATGTGATGTTTTAAGCCTCGTAGTGATAACATCCCAAGCCCTCTGGTTTGTTATCTAGGGCTGTCTAAGGGTTTACATAGTCGAATCAGAATCGTCAAATCCTGCCTATAGTTGACTGATAGTCGACTCATGTGTGACTCATGCGCAGAGCTGCAGTCTCTATTCCTTTTTCCTTCAACTTACACTGTAAATTTCCTGCTAAACTGAGGCTTTTTGAAGATCTCTCTCTCTCTCTCTCTCTTCCCCCCCCCTGTTATTCACCGGTCCTGTGTGAGTTTTACGTGCATGCAGTGCTGCTGACACCTACATGCACGTTGCAGTTCCTCACGGGTCTATTTCAGGTAGCCGGCTATTTAAAAACAATAAAATATTCCTTGTGTGGTTCATCAACGGTAATAAATTATTCAAAAGTCATGCGAGGTGCGGACATCTCAGCACAACACCAGAAAAGCTGGGGGTCACTCTCTTCAGCAAGTGTTCCTCTTCCGCCACCATACACACACACACACGCTACACGTTTACATGCGCGCTGACGACCCAGGGTTAGGGTTACAATTTTGGATTTATTTATGCACTTTAAAAACATTTATTGGAAGCCAACCTGGGAAAAGCCATTAATCTCTGTCTGGTTCAGTAACACAACCACAATCATGGAAAAGACTTGAGAGTTGTCCAGACGACACTCACCAGGAGGGTAAGCCACAGAAGGTCATTGCTGAAAGGACTGGCTGTTCAGAGTGCTGCATCAAAGCATATTCATGGAAAGTTGACTGGAAGGTTAAGTGTGGTAGGAAAAGGTGCACAAGCAACAGGGATGACACAGCCTTGAGAGACTGTCAAGCAAAGCAGATTCAACAACTTGGGAGCTTTTCAAGGAGTGGACTGAGGCTGGAGTTATCAAGAGCCACCAGGCGCAGACGTGTCCAGGAAATGAGCTACAAGTGTCACATTTCTAGTGTCAGTCCACTCCTGAACCAGAGACAATGTCAGAAGCGGCTTACCTGGGTTAAGGAGAATGCAACTGGACTGTTGCTCAGTGGTCCAAAGTCCTCTTTTCTGATGAAAGTAAATTCTGCATTTCATTTGGAATCCAAGGTCCCAGAGTCTGGAGGACGAGTGGAAAGTCACACAACCCAAGTTGCTTGAAGTCCAGTGTGAAGTTTCCACAGTCAGTGTTGATTTGGGATGCCATGTCCTCTGCTGGTGTCCAGAGTTGAGGCAGTGTCTGCCAGGAGATTTTAGAGTACTTCCTGCTTCCATCTGCTGACATGCTTTATGGAGATGCTTATTTCCTTTTCCTGTGGTACCTGCCCACAGTGCCAAAACCACTAGGAACTGGTTCGCTGACGTGGTACTGTGATTGGCCAGCCAACTCACCTGACCTGAACCCCATAGAGAATCTATGGGTAGTTTTCAAGGGGAAAATGAGAGACACCAGAACCATTAATACAGATGAGCTGAAGGCCACTATCAAAGCAACCTTGGCTTCCATAACACCTCAGCAGCCACAAGCTGATTGCCTCCATGCCACACCGCACTGATAGAGTGATTTGTGCAAAAGGAGCCCCGACCAAGCACTGAGTGCAGAAATTAACCTTTTTCAGAACTTTTCTACTTTTCAGAAGGTTTCATACATTCTTTATTCTAATATTTTGAGAGATTCATTTTTGATTTCCAATAGCCGTAAACTGTAATCATCAAGATTAAAACAAAAAAGGCCTGAAATATTTCACCATACGTGCAATGAATCTAGAATATATAAAATATTAACTTTTTGACTTAAATAATGAAAACAAAAACTTTTCCACGATATTCAAAATTTATGAAATGCATTTTTACTTAAAGCTACAAAAAATATTTTAAATCAAATAAAGGATGCTTTTGCATTGCTCTGATCATGTGTGTTTATTAAATGTAATGATGCATTTATAGTGATTACACACAATATGTCCAAATTGTTTAGTGAAGTTTGTAACTTTGACAAGTTAAACATGATTAACACATTATAACCTGGTCAAAAATGTAAGATACAACATTTTAACTGAAGGGAACATAAGTTATTCATTCACTAACATCTTGAAGTTTCAGTTTGAGGTGAGTCTTGTGAACACAGCCCATTCTGTTCTTCAGTTAGATTACTCACAGCTCAGTGCACCTCCAGGAAACCTGAATGCCTTTACATAAACAGAAATGATGAAAAGTAGGTGAAACCTGAGTTTCACAATATCCGTACAACCCTAGTGAGGTTAAATGTTAAAATGTGAAATGTCAAAATAGATGACTTTGTTTAGTTGCTGACTTTAACAGTTTAATATTTGCAACATGGTTTAATTGGTATTAAGCATGTTTTATATCAATACAAGTAAAACAAATATTTATAACATTGTAAATGTACTACATTGAGCATTGAGGTGCTCAGAAATTTTAAATATAATTATATGTTATGGGTTTTTGACCATAAACTAAAGCCTGATTAGGGTGACATGGAGAATGTGAGTGGAAGAGAAAATAGTCTGGCAGTGACTCTGACTTTCCACTGACTGGGACATTTACAGTTCCAATCAAAATTATTCAACCACCACTGCAAATTAGGTTTATTATCAAAATGTACAGACTTTCAGCTGTTTGCACAAATCCAACAAAAGCAACTGAAATAGCTCAATACAATGAATGCTTTAAGTGGTTTCCCAAAATTTAGTTTTAATTTAAATGCAACTAAAAATGACTTCTCCATTCCCAACATCTTCATGGCAAGCATTTTTAGTACTTACTAGAGCACCCTTTTGCTGTTATGACCTACTGCAAACGAGATGCGTAGACGCTCGTTTCTGGCAGCATTCCTGAAGAATCTTGGCCCATTCCTCATGAGCAGTAGGTAGGTAGCTAGGTCGGTTTATTGTCACAATATAACAAGTTGTAGAGTGAAATTGAGTAACTGTGTAACTCTCTTCTGCTACATAGCAAGATAATAGCAGATAATATACATATATAATAATAATAATATATAATATACAATACAAAATCAATTATGAAAAATGGGAAACAGAAATAAGCTATCATCACTTGAGCAGTGCTGAGGATGAAGTAGAGTTTAAAAGTCTGATAGCTTGGGGGGAAAAGCTGCTCTGCAGTCTGTTGGTGTGGCAGCAGAAACTTCTATATCTCTTCACAGAAGGCAGCAGGTTGAACAGGCTGTGTTGATGATTTTCTCTGGGGTTCAAGTCAGGTAACTGTGATGTCCACTGTAGAATCTTCCAGTCCAATCCATCTTGCCTTCCACACACTACAGGTTTCCAGTGCCAGAGGATGCCAGCAGCCCCAGAGTATCACCGAGCCACCACCATGCTTAACTGTGGGCATTCGTCTTCCTCCAGACATACTGCTGATCCATCGTGTTGAAAAGGTCCAGTTTTGTTTCTCAAAACTTCAGTGGCTTATTTAGATGATTTTGATCATATTTGAGCGGACTTTTCTTGTGCCTTTGGGTCAGTAGTGGTGTACGTCTTGGAGTTCTGGCATGGAAACCATCTATGTTCAGCATGTGCGTTACTGTCCTCACTGAATCATCAGTACCTGTTGCCACCAAGACTTTGCTGCAGGTCTTTTGCAGTCACTTGATGGGTCTTCACAACCTGCATTCTCAGAAATGTTGCATTCCTCAGCTGTTGATAGTTTCCTTTTTCTGCCCCATCTAGGTAGTGTAGCCACTGTTCCTTTAACTTTGAACTCGCAAACTATGCTTCCAGCGGCGTCTCTAGGAACATTCAGTGCCTTCATAATCTTTTTGTATCCTGTTCCTTGTCATTTATGTCAAATGTTAAGCTTGATTTATACTCTTGCGTTGGGTCTAAGCCATAGGCTACACACGTAACCAGGCATTTATACTTGTGCGTCCGTGTGTCCGTCAATCTGCAATTACAAACCCCAAACGCCAGTCGGCAGTAGCGCTACAGCGTCCTCCGTGTTGACTTTTGCGAGCAGAGGCGGCTAACTTCTGGTTTAGCCCTCCGCTAACGTGAATGGGGGTAAAATTGTAAACGCTGATGTAGCCTTTTCAAATGTTATCGACCGAGTGGATCACATTCTGATAATGAAACGAGTCATTTCGCCCGGGTTGTGACGATCAGATATATTGATCCACCATGTTACAGCCGCCATCTTGGGCGCTGGTAAAAGTTACTTCAAAGCACGGGCACTTCCTGTCGGCTTGGAGGGCGAGGCTGCCCAGCCAACCAATCACAGAGTTACGGTCCGTGTCGACTCGACGTGTAGTTAGACGTTGTAGTTAGACGTTGTAGTAGACCTAAATTTATTAGTTATGCATTTTAATAAATTTATGAGAATTGATACCCAATTATGAATTAAAATTCATAAATTTTCCTCGTTAAGGGCACCACCAGAGTTGTTATAATCCTAGAGTCTCCGGACCTCTAGGTAGTTTTGAATAATTATACAATTATTACTAGTGATCAGTTAGTTAATAATCGCTCAATTATCTTAAATCAGTCAGTCAGTCTCATATCTAAAGGGTCAATTCTCTTGGCAGGAACTAGAAATAGGCAACACACACAGCTCTTGATTATATTACAGTGAATTTATTCTCTAACTAAGGTGATATAAAGATGGTTGGATACAGGGAAATAAACAATTGCTGAACAATGAGCCTGGAGGTTCGATTGTGGGAAGCATTTGACTCATACGGCATAGAAGAGCTAATGAAAGTAAACTAATGTCATAATTTAGGAGTTAAAATGGACATCTGATCACAGAACGTGTGTTAAGTCTTACTGCTTGTCGACAGCCTGCTTTTGGCCTGTTGCACGGGTCCCACTCTAGCTGCCGATCCTGGCTTTTTGCTAGGGATTCTCCAGGGTTCTCCATGTCTGATTGAAAACGCCTCCTCCGTCTGGCAATTCGGCTGTTTGCAGGTTTCCTTCGTTGTAGCTGGCGAGACCACGTGGCTTGGTCTGACCTCGGTAAGTTGGCTCGACGAAAAAGGCTTAAAATCGAACTTGGTCGTTCCTGAATTAGTCCAGTGTAACTTAACGGACTGATAACTTTAACAGACAAAAGAAATAAAGAAAATAAAACAAACTGAAGGCAGATCGATGTCGCGGCACTTCAGGTGTGTAGCTTCAGGCAAACAAAAGGGCCTGTTTGTTTCGCTGGCCGAGTCTGGGCGTTGCCTGGCGAGGCACGCTGCTCGTGCCGAAACGTCCAGAGGGCGGAAGAGCCAACAGCGAAGAGAAGAGAAGAGCGAGCAGGTCACGTGTCGCTCTTTTGTTGTCTGGGGCGTGGTTCCCCAGGGGGCGTCTCAGGTTTCCCCATGGGACTGCCTTTCTAAACTTAATGTCTAAAGAAAAGAAATCTATTTGCACGTATTATAATCAAACATTTTCCACAATCGAACCTCAATGGTTGAACGGTTGTACTGTTCTAAGCATTTGGTAACAGGAAACAGTTGTCACATTATTGGTCAGGATATTTATACATTTAACGGCATTTCCGACGAGGGCATGTAATACTTATTTCGCCCACTTGGGGGAGCTCAGGTTACATGAGGAAAGCTTGGATTAAATCAAAGATCATCTCTCCTTAGGAACCGGGGAATTTCTTGATTCATCCTTAAATTCAAGCTGGCGATTAAGAGTATAGTAAAACATTTCTTTGTCATCATTTCTAAAGGGATTTTGTAGGAAAGTATTATGAACAAGCATTGATTACATTAGATGAAGGAGTGTCTTGCTGAAAATAAAAACACTGCACAAGTAACTTCTTTTCAGCACTAATATCAACAACAGATAGCAACAACAGTCAACATAACTACTCAAATAGAGGCAAACGTATTCAGGCAACTAAAGATTTAATTAACTTAATTAAATGCTTTGAGTCTTTGGAGACTGCAGTCCTCTGTCATCCAAAGTTCAGTGTCTGGACCATGTCACACTTGGGTGAGACAGGGGTTTTCCTTTTTGATGTGGTAATAAAACAAAGAATAAGGTCAGTTGCCACGGAAACGTGTGTGGGGGGGCCAGTTTTGATAGGCTGTTCAGGGAGATGCCAATGGCTGGCTCGTGTCCCTTTGTCAGTTTAACAGTCAGGCTATCAGCTTCGGAATCAAAAAGGTGCCAGTTTTATGGTCGGGATAGCACTTAGAGAAAGCAACTTTGACCCCTCCCCATCTTCTCTGGGGAGGAGAAAGGAATTTAGGGTAGCTCCAAATTTATTCAATGTAAAATGCACAAATCCACACCGTTGTTCACTACAACGTTTATCTCGGCCGTTCGGCCCACGCAGAGCCGTTAAAAATAAAAAGAGCTGATAAAGTGTGTCAATGTACCAATCAGTGTACATTATGCGTTAATATTTACTATATATTTTTAATTATATAATATTATTATAGTATATTAATACTGTAAATATTTATTTAATAGCGTAATGATAATAAAGCAATGTTTCAATTCATACTGTTGTTGTATATTTGTTCCAAAGTGATTTTAAAGAGGTGGTATTCTGCTCATTTTCAGGTTCAAAATCTTATTTAGGGGTTGTACCAGAACAGGTTTACATGGTTTAATTTTCAAAAAACACCATATTTTTCTCATTCTGCACATTGCTGCAGCTCCTCTTTTCACCCTATGTGTTGTATGCTCCACTCTTGAGCTACAGAGTGATGCATCTTACTTGTACAAAATCTTTGTTGGGAGTTGCACATGCGTAGTTCCCAGCCAATCAGAGCGGGTCGTAAGAAACATGGTAGTGTGATCCAAATCAAAGCCGCTTCAGACTGCGACCGTAACCTATCATTGTTCCACATCTTACCTTAAACCACTACAAAAATCACCATATTTCAACTCGTTTTTACATAAAAATTGGCCAAACAATTTGAACGTTTGCTCAGTAGCTTTCACATCGGGTGAAACGCTAGTATTATAGCTACAAATTTAGCTGTGTTAGCCAACGTTTACAACAACTCCGCACTTGAACAGTCTGAAGTTACATTGAGTTTATTTTTGTATTGTGTATTTGTATTTTTTTATTGTGTTTATTTTAAATATAATTCACAACCAATAAAGCATACTTACAGGTTGTGATTGTGAATTTCCAGGCCCAAACAGAGTCGGAGTTGAAATGTGTTTTAGGACTAAACGTTGAGCTGTTGCCGGTGTTCTGATGATCTGTGCTGCCTTGCTGAAAAATGCTACCATAGCGCAAATCGATGGACTCGACTCTACTCGACCCTGCTCCGTTTTCCATTGCAGATAGTACCCAGAGATGGTACATAGCTTGTCGTCATAGCGACGCCACACACAACTGCCGCGACGTAATGTTCAATGCGACACACACACCAGCGATCCACACAGCTTTCTCTTTTTAAAGTTAAAACATTCCAACATTCCTCAGAATGTAAAGACAGATAAGCGGTATGAAAACCTTGTAGCCTTGCTGCAGCGGTCTGTGTGACGGCGGGAGCAGAGGGCTCTGTGAGCGGGCGGCTGGCCGGCCTCACACGATCCTCCCGCGGGTTGGTGCAGGCTTCCCCCGCAGCCAATCACAGAGCTCCTCAACTACGAAAATATTCAAGCACATTTTTGTTCCGCCATCACTTCTCGTAAAACTGTCAATATTCGAAATCTACACAGCTGATTTCTCACCTCAAAACTTCTCAGAAGTGGATTTAGTGATGAAATTCCATATGAAAACTGTAAAAGTTTCTGTTGCTGGCCTCTGTCTGGCGCACGCAATGATGATGCAGTGAATAGTGAATATTCTCTCTGACCAATCAGCAGTCTGTCGTGTTTTCACGTTACATTTTAGTATCCCTCAGCTCGCCTGGAACCTCGATGGAGGCAAGGTGATATGAAAAAAAGTACCTGGAAGTAGGTACAGGTACAACATTTCTACAATGGAAAACCAAACAAAGGCGAGTCGAGCCAAAGGGCCTCTGCTCAGACTAGCTTGGTTTGAGGGTGTGCCTGACCCACTAGCCGCTTGGCAAGCTTTATAATGCGTTTTCATTGTGACGTCACAAGTAAAGGAAGTGAAGGGCTGGACTACAAATGAGCTGTTTTCAGGTAGTTCAGAGCAGTGCTTTCTGTGGGAGATGGGAACTCCCGTTGGGCTGGACTTTGGGCTTTTTCACTTTGCAAACCTGTTACATGCACAAAAAAGATATATAACTCAATAAAGGAGAGGGGGAAAGCCAAAAAGCATAATACCACCTCTTTAAGTTTCACAAAGCAAGAATATTCTGTACATCACGAGCCAGATGTATCTTGATTTAGGTTAAAACTTTACAACATTACTGAGAATTTTATGATAGAATAGCGGTACGAACATTAACACCATCGTTCAGCTGTTGCTGGACACGTCAGCTGTGTTGGCTGCAGTGGTCTGTGTGACTGGACCTGGGGGAGCTAACCGGAGCTAGCTAGCTAACTATTCCTGACAGCCCCCCGAGGTATATTACTCTTACCCTAACCATCACAGGGTGTGTGCCTAAAGTTATTGATTGTATGTCGACCGGTTAACGTTAACCCTACAGCGGCACACATCGGCAGCTAGCAGATAGGGCTAACCTCCATTGCGTTGCTCTGCAGCTATATATTGACACCTGCCAGCACCATGGTCAGAACTTGTCAAGTCCGAAATTGTTTGAACACATTTTCGATTCGCCGTCAATTTTTGTCAGACAGCCGATATTCGACATGTACACAGTTGATTTCTTAACTCAAAACTTCTCAGAAGTGTATTTAAAGTTCTGTTGTTGCCCTCTAAAGAATAAAACGGTTAACATTAGGATCTATACTGTACGCAAGCCGAGATTAATGTCATACGTTTTGTGTGCGGTGTCTTCTGGGACAAACCATAATTAGAAGTTCAACTTCCGTCAACTTCCATCTGGGGCAAGTTCAATCTCAAAACGTTTTGCACCGATTTGCAACATTTTCGGATTGAACGACATGTTTCCTTGCAATAATGAGCAACGTTCTGCAACAGGCTTTAAGGTATGTTTTCTCCTGTTTGGTGTGCGTGTCACAGGTTTTACCCAATCGGCTGCAACAAATTTGTAAACCACAGCAGTGTTAAAAAGGTAGGAAAATTCAGTGCGCTTGCGTACACAGCAGGGTGTTCAGGGAACCACCGTTTCCGTTGAAAAAAAAGTTTTGCTACGTTTTGTCTGCGCTGAACTGGGACCAGGTCTGCGACAGAAACCCAGGGTTTCCCAATCCAGCTGTGAGCACGTTCACATAAAAGAGGCGGTGTTAGCAGCAGATGACCAATCACAGACATGAACAAGTCTACTGGCAGCAGAGTGGCATATTTTACAAACGAGCAAACTGTAACACTACAGAAATGCGACATAGGCCTAGTCTAAGTAACACAGCTGCAGCTGACACATTCAGGAAGACAGTGTGAATGCCTAAATGAACAAGCGTAGTCTATAATAATGCGTTGATTTGATGTGTTCTTATGAGCTGTATGAAAATATCAGCCTTATTCTTTCAGCTCGGCTGTGTGTCGGCGTTTCCATATTAAAAGACTCGGGCACTGAAGATGTGGTCTTCCACCTCACTTTAAAAAACATCTTGTCACTTCAAAACACCCTCAAAAGTATTCCAAACATTGTTCTAAATTAACTTCATAAAGCAATGAAATGAAACATCCATTCATGCCATAAAATGTGCTCAAATAGTGGTTGAAAGACTGAATCTCATTACCTGCACCCACATCGCAAAAAGTGGGGAGGTGGGCTAAATGACCAGTCTCTGTAGTTGGCCTATAAGAAAGCTACTAACCTAAAATAAATAGCCTACATTCATATTAAAATGTAGTATTTCAATATCCCTACCAAACTGCTCATAATAGTTATTATTATCATAATAATATTTTTTAACGGCTGCAACAGGCTGTGTGAAACGGACAGGGAGCAAATAAAAAATATTAAACACATTTCAAAGCAGTAAATAGGCTTACTGTAAAAACATGTAGGCAACAATGGCCTAAAGCTTTTAATCAGTCTCTGTAGGATGATATCGCTTTAGCCTACAAGAGTTTCTCCGTATCACTGCAGCAAACATAAAGCAGCCTATAAAACAGTCTGTGGGATTTCCTACAGTCATTATAAGTTGCATTTTCAGTTGAATTTGGGGCAACACTTTGTTGCATTTGTTGTTTTGAGATATTTCCTTTGCTTTTGTTTGATTTGTTCATTGCAAACAGCTGAACGATTGTAACTTCTGACAATAAAACTGATTTGCAGTGATTCATTGCAACTGTATTTATCCACATAACACTTTATTGAAAAAAAAAAAAACTTTATTGTCTATCACATAATGATAGAAAATTGTCTTAGGTTAGGGGCTCACATACAACAAAAACATACACCCATGAAATACTCGCATAAGATTATATTAAAACACAAACAATTCCATAAATAAATAGGAGCAGGTGTACAAAGCTGCATTTAAAGTAGTGTCAGTCTATTTGTCGTTGTTTAAAATGGATATTGCAGTGGGAATGAAAGAGTTTTTGTGAGTTCTTTTGGCCAGAGGTGCTCTGAAGCAGCGGTGGCAGTAGCTGAAGGAAGTGGGAAAGGGGATGTAAAGGGTCCTTAGTGATGGAGTCTGCCTTTCTTTTTATTGCATGGCTGAAAAAAAACAGCTGGATTTGAGTGGTGCCTGTGATTTTGGTGGCATGTTTGATGATTCTTGTGAGTTTTTTTCTTGATTTTCTCTGGGAGGAACTTGCACCAGGATGCAATGTTGAATATGAGAACTGATTCGACGAGTGACCGATACACTGTTGGTAAAATGTCCTGTCTGACATTAAAACCTTTCAGCCTTCTCAGGCGTTCTCTGGCCTTTGTAGACCCCATCTACATGTTGTGTGGAGGACAAGTGGTGGTCAATATCAGTGCCCAGATATTTAAAGCTCTTGACTTGTTCTACCACCTGCCCCTCCAGCCTGAGTGGTTCAGAGAGAGGGTGTGGTATCAGTTGCCCGGCACCCCCCCACAACACATCTTCTTGGTCTTATTGATCAGTTCCAGGGAGCTCTCCTGGAACCACAAGACCATGGTGTCCACATACTGCCTATATGTGGAGAGGGAGTGCTTGTCTGTCAAGCGGGCCACCAGAGCGGCTGTGTTGTAGCCTGATTATGTCGGTGTGCTGTTAGGAAAATAGATGCTACATGTCCAAACTAAGGAAGTTGTGGTTAAAGTTGGTTTGGTTACTGATAATTGTGTGTAGTGTATGCGTGTGTATTTAACTTAATGTGTCTGTCTGTCATGTAGGATGAGTTCCATCCGTTCATTGAGGCTCTGCTGCCTCAGGTCCGTGCCTTCGCCTACACATGGTTCAACCTCCAGGCCAGGAAAAGGAAGTACTTCAAAAAACATGAGAAAAGGATGACTAAAGAAGAAGAGCGAGCTGTCAAAGACGAACTTCTTGGGGAAAAGGCAGAGGTGGGATGGATTGGAGTGGTGGATAATAGAAATAAATATTTTTATTTTGAACTCAAGTAGCTAAAACTAAAAACTAAAAACATTATGTATGTAGTTAAACCAGTGTTTTATAACATGTTAATATACATTTCCAAATTTGACTTACTGGTCTTACAGCTATTTATATATGCGAGTACAATATATTAATAGACATAACTCCCTTTACAATATCATTCTGTTCCTAGGTGAAACAGAAGTGGGCCAGCCGTCTTTTGGCCAAGCTAAGAAAGGACATTAGACCTGAATGCAGAGAAGATTTTGTCCTGTCAATCACTGGGAAGAAAGCTGCATGCTGTGTCCTGTCAAACCCTGACCAGAAAGGCAAAATGAGACGCATAGACTGTCTCCGACAAGCTGACAAGGTAAATAAAATTCTGCCTAATCGCACCTATTAATTTACAGTAGTTCTGTTCCACAGTTGTTTTGTGTCAGCTGGTCAGGATAATAAGTAAATGTTGCTGAGTTCAGAGCTTCTAACCAAAAATGATGTATGATGAAAATAAGTATGATGGTTTACAGGCAAATGTTTTTCAGAGGGTGGGTAATTATTTCTCACCCAGATTAAAATAGTATGCCTGCATCCGTACACTTGTGAACATGACAGTAAAAAATCACAGGGTTACATCATAATTGTTATATCAAGATATTTTTTGCGTCATAAAGGTACGCCATATGCAGTGGACAAAAGCCAGTTATGGGTCAGTATTATCTTTCAATATTTTACATAAAACAAACAGCTAATAGGAGCAGTATGTCTCTAGAAACACAATACAAGTGGATCTTATTGATTAGTGATTTTTCTCTCCATAGAGCATTCAATTTTCACTAACCTAGAGCAGCACCTACCTTTACATTAGACTGCATCTTAAAGGAAAGTAGAGGTGCAGTTGAGTAAAATGTTTCATATATAAAGTTAGTTTACAGAATAATGTCATACAAGTTCAGCATAACACATTTGCAACTAGGGCTATCGTGGCTATTTACAGTTTTGATCATTCACAAGTTCTGCACACATGTCCTCTAATTCATAAACCCACATGCACGTTCTTCATAGTTAGCAGAACGTACACCAAAACATTTAGTATTTACATTTACTGGTATGGAGAGTTGTGGATCTAAACCATTTATCGGTTGTGATTACATGTGTTTTGATATTTAACTGTGCCCCGTTTTAAACTTTTTAATTATTCTTTTACGAGGAAAACAAAATAGTAAATACAGGACAATTAACAAAAGTCTGTCCAGAGAACAATGTGATGTTTGTTGTCTGGTTTTGGGTTCTGTTGATTTTATATATAGAGTGTGTGTGTGAATATTTGTGTTTGATATGTGTAGGGCAGTGGTTTTCAAACTGGGGGGGTGCAGAGCTACTTCAGGGGGGTCATGGATGGTCTGCTGAATTATTCATAGCTGCAAGCATCTAGGCCTGGGGCTGAATGTGAAAATATCTGGCATTGCTTGTCTTATTATTATTATTATTATTCTTATTATATGTTGCCATTTTGCTGCAATAGGCTTTACATAACAGCTGCGGCAGTCTCTGTACACTGTTTCAATCTGACCTTTCTTTACTCCGTGAGATGGAAGAATTTAGAAAGTTGCGTGGCGCTGCAGAGAGCCACAAGCTGCAGTGTTGCACGGATCATACGTAAAATTCATCCAGCCAAAGGAAACGGTCACCAACCACCTGAAACGCGCCGGTCATACTAGCGACACAACCCATTATAGGTACCGTAGGGGGAGTGGGGCGCTGTACAGGGCCAGGGTCAGGAGATTGCGGAGCGACCAGGCATGCTGTGGATGGTCGGCGATCGTTCCCTCTGGTTGGACGAAGCCCGGCGCTCCTGATTTCACGCATGATCCATGATGATACAGAAAAATAGAAATTAATGGCAAAAAGCATATTGTCAATATTTTAGAGACCCCCTAAAATTTCACAAATCCTGGTTTTAGAGGAGCTAAGCTACCCCTGGCTCCCCCGTAGTTTGCACCTTGCGCAGACCTTCATTCAGTTGCATGAATATGATTCAAGTGGTTAAGTAAACAAACAAATGTGCTCGGATGCTAGCAAGGCTATTTTGTAATTGTAAATGATTGATAAAAAATTCACTTTTTTTAAGCTTCATAAGGGGGCTTGACAGAAAAAGTATGATATTGTGTGTGTGTGTGTGTGTGTGTGTGTGTGTAATATAAATCCCCCTGTCACCCCTTGCGGGGTGGTATGTGTCATCCTCAAGCTGGGGTCCTCTACCAGAGGCCTGGGAGTTTGAGGGTTCTGCGCAGTATCTTAGCTGTTCCTAGGACTGCACTCTTCTGGACAGAGACCTCTGATGTTTTACCTGGAATCTGCTGTAGCCACTCTCCCAGTTTGGGGTCACTTTGGAAGTGCATGTTAGAGATTAGGAGTTAAAGGTGTTATAAGAGGAAGTGTTCTCGGAAGAGATGAGTTTTCAAGAGCTTCTTGAAGTTAGAGAGGGACGCCCCTGCTCTGATGGCGTGTGGTAGCTCGTTCCACCATCGTGGTGTCACAGATGAGAATAGCCGGGACTGGGATTGCTTTGTGTGAAGGGATGGCAGAGCCAGGCGGCGTTCGTTGGAGGAGCGTAGCAGCCGAGAAGGAACATAAGTTTGTATTATGGAGTTTAGGTAGATGGGTGCAGACCCAATAGTCACTCTGTATGCAAGCATTAGTGATTTGATTTTGATTCTGGAGGCCACGGGGAGCCAGTGGAGGTCACTGAGTAATGGAGTGACATGAGTCCTTTTGGGCTGATCAAAAACCAGACGTGCTGCTGTGTTCTAAACCATTTGTAAAGGTTTCACCGCACAAGCTGGGAGACCTGCTAGGAGGGCATTGCAGTAGTCGATGCGAGAGATAACCATGGCCTGTACCAGAAGCTGGGTGGTGTACTGAGTGAGGTAGGGCCTGATTTTCCTTATGTTGTATAGAGAAAAGCGGCATGACCGAACGAGCTTAGTGTAGAGCACAGAGATTGTGTGGCATCATTGACCTCAAGTGAGGAAAATGTGTTGAGGGGAAGGGTAGAGCGGAAGCTACCACTGAGGCAAAGTGAGCTGGAGACAGGTTGCGGAGGTTGCGGCGGTGTGAAACCAATGGTGTTGGAAGAATGGGCTTTTCTTGTAGGCATACCGTGAACTGAATGAAATAGTGGTCAGCAGTGTGTCTAGCTCCTCCACAAAGTTACCCAGTCACCCCCCTCCCAGATGGCCGGGGGGTGTGGGTGAAAGAGTAATTGGTGGACAGCGCAGCGGGGGTAGCAGAGTTTTCAGGTTTGATCCAGGTCTCAGTGAGCGCCAGTAGCCCAAGAGATAATGTGTTAGCATAAGCAGTGATGAAGTCAGCTTTGTTGACTGCCGACTGGCAGTTCCATGACCCAACAGACAAGTAAACAGATGTGGGTTGTGCCGGTTTTAAAGGCTTGAGGAGTGCCTGGTTTCTGTGCCTGATGGCATGATGTCTCTTGCGTGTACCGGAGACAATAGGAATAGTGTAGTAGCACATGGCCTGAGTGTTGTTGTAGCTGGCAGCTTTAGGTGAGTGGGTGTGCCTCAGAAAGGGAAAAAGCTTCTCGTGTAGGCGGCCTTGCTCAGTGGACTCGCACAGGTAGACTCGCTGGTCTTTACCCAAGTAGGTCTTCACACAAGGAGCAGACGCTGACGCTTCAGTGGTAAGTTTCACTGAAGTACTGTGAGTCTAATTGTACACAGGTGTTGGGCATTAAGAGTGATTGCACCCAGCTGAGATCGCCCTCCGGATTAACAAGACAAAAGCTTGGTTTCAGTGGGTGGGACACACACCCAGTTGTTTGATCTCGCTCAGCCGGCCTTCAGATTCTAGTGGATTGCTCAGTAAATGTGCAAAGAAATAGCACCTCAAGAGTAGGAAAGGTAAAGTATTACCTCACTGCTGCAAACTCTTATTTGCCCCACGATTCTTGTCCTGTGTTTTACAGGACAACAGGAGTACAAGTACTCCGTTAAATGCTTTGGATTGCCCTCCGACTTCCAGCCCATACTCATGGCAGATGTTCCTGTACACCATGCCAGCTACCTGGTTATGGTGTTCCATGTACGCACTTCCTGCCTGCATCTTACACCCTGCTGTTATGTGCTGTATTGTCTCAGGGGCATTCTTGCACAGTCTGCACCTGGGGTCCTGCCTGGTGTGGTAGACCCCAGCCTCTATTGATCTTGTACTGAGTGCCTGTTCTTGTGCCGCTATGATTAGTCCTTCTGTGCTGTCCTTCAGTCCAGCCTTTTCCAGCCACTGGTAGGATTTCATGATATCAGCCACTTCCAATGTCGTTCCTGTAGATCCTGGTAGTGTGGATCAGTGAGTCGATGTCTCGCTCATTTCTGGCATACAGCTTGATGTCATCCATGTAGAGGAGGTGACTGATGGTTGTTCCACTTCGGAACCGGTATCCGTAGCCAGTCTTTGTGATGATCTGGCTGAGGGGGTTCAGGCCAATGCAGAACAGCAGCGGGGATAGTGCATCGCCTTGGTATATGCCGCACTTGATGGTGACTTGGCTTCCAGGCTTGTTTTCCACAGCCCCATTGAGTTCTTGATGAAGGCTATTAGTGTCCTGTTGATCTTGTACATTTCCAAGCATTCCAGTATCCATGTATGTGGCATTGAGTCATAGGCTTTCTTGCAGTCAATCCAGGCGGTGCACAGATTGGTCTGCCTGGTCTTGCAGTCTCAAGTGACTGCTCTATCAACCAGTAGCTGGTGCTTGGTATTACTACCCATTCCCTTCTGGGCCCTGTCCATGTATTGAGCCATGTGCCTACTCATCTTAGCCATTATGATGCCTGACGGGAGCTTCTATGTGGAAGCTGCCATTGGCAGTTTCCAGAGCCTCAAGTATCGACAGCTTGTTGTATTTCTTAGGTATCCCCTTCCTTGCACCTTTCTGTAGTTCTGAGAGCTGACTAACCTCTCTTTGTGTTGCCTTGATCTTGACCTCTAGCCTTCTCCTCCATGGGGGGAGAAGACTAATGCTCTTTGTGGCTTGTGTTCATCTTATAGCCAAGCATCTCTAGGATCACTATTGCTGTGGCGTACGTAGGAATAGTATGTAGTGCTGCATTCACATCTTCTAGCAGACTTTCAGAGGGTACTTTGTCACTTAGCCTTGGCAATCTTGGTCGTTGTACTTGGGGGTCCAGTTTGGTTATGATCTTCAAAGTCACCCTTACGTTGAGTGATTCTGTGCCGAAAGGGCTTGTTGTTATTGGGGCTTGGGACCCAATCTCTGAGTGTGGGAATGATGATGACATCTCCCCGCTGACATGTCGTCCTGCCTTCCAATTGCCTTAGCATATTTGTTGTACCTCATCAATCTCTAGTTGTGATAGGAGCTGCCGTTTGCGGATATTAGAACACTGAGCTAGAAGTTGTTTCTTTGTCAATGTTGATGATGGGTTTCGAAGCATCCATATATCCCATAGTCTCTGCATATAACCCCTCTTACTGGGATTACTTGTATAGTAGCATTGCATCAGATCCATATTCCAGGGATGTGATTTTTCCGGATTATTCCGGATTTTCTGACCTGAAAGTCTGACCCATGTGAATCATGCAGATCTGTAATTTAAAAGGAGCTGGCTGAGTGAAATGGAGAGGATTTGAGGACATCTACAGGCTGACGGGTGTTAAGTTTTATTCCTTTCCAAGTATCAGCAAGGATGTTTGTTTGCGTTCAGCTGCCCATTCCATACCTGCGTAGTGTGCTCTTGCGTATCAGTGAGCTATCCAGGAGCGTGTGTGTGTGTGTGTGTGTGTGCGCGCGTGCTCACACATGTTCATGTTTCATGTAACACTGAATAAATGACACTTTGCTACAATGTAAAGTATTGAGCGTACAGCTTGCTGGCAACAAAAGTGAGTACACCTTAAGTGAAAATGTCCAAATTGGGCCCAGTTAGCCACTGCCCAGAGAACATTTCCAAGTGTTAGTTAGGGTCAATTAGTTAGTTGAATCCCGCTTTGTTTACTGCATTTAATTAGATAGGTAAAGTGTGTTTTTTTTTTTTCATAATGTAAGAAGTTGGCATGAAAAATGTGGCATTTGCAAATTATAAAAAAAATTGTATTTCAGACATATCTTTATCAACACATATGTAAAAACATGGCAAAAGAAGACGACCAACAGCTTTCCTGCTGTCACACACAAACGCTTTTCATTTTTCCCTCTGTAGAGGACATCATCTGATTTTATTTGCTCCATCTCTCTTAAAAGAAACACACATAATCCCACACTTAGCAGCAGAGAAGTTGGCTTGGTTAACACCAATCCATCGTCAGCTGCTTATCCCGCGTACAGGGTCGCGGGGGGCTGGAGCCAATCCCAGCTTACATCGGGTGAAAGGCGGGGTACACCCTGGACAGGTCGCCAATCCATCGCAGGGTTAACAAGTAATGAAAGTATAAATTTGAAGTAAAACGTTTGGCCAGTATAGACAACTTTAAACTATTCAATGAAGCAGTATATTATATACATGAAGGGGAGCAGTGGTTCAGCAATCCCTCATGGTATATAGTTACACTAACCCTGGCTAGAGTTAGATTCATGTTGTTTTTAGTCAATAATTGTTATGTTTTGTCGTTTCCAAGGTGTGGAGGTTGGACCTGGTGATGGTCATCCTATTTAAAGGAATCCCATTGGAAAGCACAGATGGAGAGCGGCTGGTGAAGGGAGGCCAATGCTCCAATCCAGTCCTCTGTGTCCAGCCTCGACACATCTCTGTCTCTGTCAAAGAGCTCGACCTCTACCTCGCTTACTTTGTACAAGAGAGAGGTATGTACCAACACACACTTCAGTGTTCTTCTTTACTATGCAACATTAAAGTGTGTTATCTATGTTATCCTTCATTTGTGAACTAAGATGCAGTGTACTTAAAATACAAATACAGACTACATTGGGATACTGTGCTGAATTATTGGATGGCACAATTTACAGGTACTGTCAGTTGGTGGAGAAAACATTTTTTTTCTCTTCTGTTTTTATGTTGGTGTCAGGCTCATAATTTTCTTCACATTTAAATAATTGATCTGATTTCTGCAGAAAATGTCTACATTTAAAATGGTATCAAATACATTTTTGGCTACTTTAGCTAATTGCAGAAAAAACTAGACATAGCAGTATTGCGGGGTTGGTGGGTCTTTGTGTTTGATGGGAGTATTATGGTCGTGGATGAAGAGGCTTGACAGACGCAGGTGGTGTGAGTGATTGAAGCTGGTGGAGCTAGAAGTAAGAAAGGCTTAAAAAGCCCAAAGAAAATGGCTTCAGGGGTTTTGTCTTGTGCTGTTCATGTTGCATCTCTACAGTGTGGGATACGCATTCACAAACCTCCATAATTACTTAATTGCAGTTTGTTTGTGGACAAAATTTGGGAAATTTGAACTTTACACGGCTCCTTGTTAATGATTGGCATGTCTGTCTTAAGCCTGAGTCATTCACTTTTATTTTACCTCCTTCAGATACGCACCAAGATATCCAACATATAACAATGAGTAGAATGAGGAAGCAAGTAGAAGAAATAGAACAGCACTCATGCTGTACAATAACATGGGCCATTGTGAACGCTTGAAGTTTGAAGAGGCATCGTGTGCGCTTTTTCCTGTTTTGTCAACTTTAAGAGCACCCATCCTGTATATCGGTCAGTTAGTCCACAATCACCAGTATAGTGTTGGAGAGCCATAGCAACTCCCACAAGGACGAGAACGACTTGTGCAAGTATGAACACAAATTGGCCGACAGTGCACACACAGAGGAGATGGGGAAGTTGAAATAAATATTTCTAAAGAGGTAATAAAAACCTGACTTTCTCAAACACGGAAGCTATTTGGTTTTAACAGCAGTGCTGTACTGGATGTGGTTTGAGGCTATGAATGCAAACTCCCCCGACTCGTCATAATTCAAGTTTAAAGAATATGACTGCTGAAGCTGAAATAGTACTTATTCATATGTATTAACATTGCATATTTCTGCATTCATTAATAATTATTAGGGCTGGGCACATTAACACATTATTAACATCGGTCTGAGGAATGTTCTTAAAATCACAACGTTGTCGCTTGGCCCCACAGGTTCTCTCAGGTAAACCGAAAGGAAGAAAAGCAGCAGGCGCTCTATGGATAGTAACCATGGCAACAGCTTCAGTGCGCTGTAGCCTATTTCACTTCAGTTAAAATGATAGGCTACATAACTTTACCTGATAGGCCTTCATCTAGTTTTGCAGGGATGCTCTGACATGTGAATTCCCTCCTGTTGATGTCCTATTTAGTTAAACAGTAATAGATTATGGAAACTCACAAACAGCGAGGATCGGTCTCTCTTCCAATGATTTGTGCTCCGCATCTTGTACAAAAAGTTCAAGACAATTCAACTTCCGCAGCTGGTGGGCATGTGCAGCCGTGACAGTTTCATGGAAATGCTCCCGCTTGTTGCTACACCTTGTGCTCGACCACTTCACCTCACTCTAACTTGACTGTTTCTGCTGCTCCCTGATAAAAGAAAAATGTTTCTGCTGATACCTGTTCAGAAAAAAAACAAGAAAACAGATTTATATCTTTTAACCTGTTGCTCAGAAGGAGCCTGTTATTCTGTTCTGATCGTGGCTCTCGACTCTTAACTTGTTTTAACAAGCTAGATAAAAGGTAATGCCCTGGCAGTGGCGAACAGCTTTGGTTTAATATTTGATTTGATTGATTTGATCACAGTAATGTTTAAGTTGAGATTTGCATATTTTATTGCTACTGTATAAAGGGAATACCGCTGGTTAAAAGCACTTTATTTGTTTAAAGTATTTGCAAACCACGTTATTGCACTTTTGTGTATATAGCAGTACATTTACACTACACTACTTTAGAATTCATTATTCAATTTTGCACATAACAATGCGATTAATTGCGATAAAAAAAATTTGCGTTGCCCAGCACTATATCATTCACACAGATATTTGGTAGACTGTGCGTATGTGTCAGTCTGTGTCAAAAGTGTGAGTATTGATGTGGGTTCCCACGTTATTTTTAGCTTCTCTGCATCTCTCAGACCAGGGAAACAGTGATGGAAGACCTAGATCTGATTTTCTAACCAGGTTAACTATAAGGAGGCTTACACATCTGACTTTCAAGAAGAGAAGCTATTAGTCTTTGTGTTGTTTGACTTCATGTGAAAAAACAGTGTAAACACAATTTAAATGCACTATGAATATGCACTCATTGGCCACTTTATTAGGTACACCTTGATAGTACAGGGTTGGACCCCCTTTTGCCTTCAGACCTGCCTTAATTCTCCGTGGCATACTTTCAACAAGGTGTTGGAAACATTCCTCAGAGATTTTGGTCCATATTGACATGATAGCATCTAGGGGTGTGGAAAATAATTCATTTTTAGATGCATCGCGATGCAGACTAGGACAATTATGAAACAAATGTCAATAATCGATTATCTAGACGTTAATTGATAATGTAATGTTGACGGAACGAAAAAGGCGGAACTCAGAGATGCAGCTCTGTGCGGTGCACACAACGGAGACGTGTGGTTGTCCCTGTTTAGCACAGACAGGCTGCTATTGAGTGAGTGACTACTGCTACTAAAATATCACATGATCAGTAAAGTCGATGCGTAACTCACGTTAATGATTTTCACCCGCACACTGTGCAGCGTGGTAACACTTAGCTAGCGTCCTCTGCTCATTCTTCAAATGTCAGCATCGTGACAAGCGGCAGTAGGTGACGGTGAAAACGAGCGGAGCAGAGGAAAACATCACCGCTACATTTCTATGGCAAGTGGATAGTGTCAGAGCAAGGATTACCAGGAGAAGGATAAGGAGCAGTCTACCCTGCCGTCGCCGCCAGACCGTGTGGAATTTTGATTGGGACTGCAGACGGGAGACCAGCGGCGAGTGCATGGAAGGAACGTCTTCTGGCGGCGACGTCACGGCGGTGTATGTTAGAATTCCTGTATAAATATACGTCTAATAAATACATCTGAACTAGGTACGTCGCCTTACAACCGTGTGATACACACGTCGTCACTAGGTACGTCGCCACCAATACACCATTGTCAGTGTAGCTCCTATTTTAACTTTATTGAGTAAATTCAAGTCATGTTTTGTACAGCCTGTGTTAAATGCTTTTATACTTGTGGTGACTGGGAACTCTGGAGTAGCCTACAGTTCATAGCCTGTGTTGTGCTTTATTGTTTGGATTCACTGTCCTATAAAATTCCACTGAAGAAGATGATGCTTTCATTTCCCCACAATGTGAAAATGGTTGTATTAGGCCTACAGTTACTTATAAAATTAATCATTGAAGTATTAGAGCTGTTTCATGCTTATTCAGTTTCTATTATTATTATTATTATTTGTTATAGGCATTTGCCTTTGGTTATTTTATTGGCAACAATGTATTTTAAATGTATATTTCTGCATAATGATTTGGATTATTTTGATCATGCTAATGCGTTACTAATCAATGTAATCCTAAAGGAGTTATAAGATACTATGTTGCCTTATGTCTGCACTTTTTTTTTTAGCAATTACATTGTTGTTGAAGTACAAGACAGCAAAAAAAAAGTTCTTCATTTTCCATCGGGATGATACAATAAGAGAAACTAGCATACTATTATACAAATGTAATTTCCCGCTCTGTATAGCTTATTGTTAATGCTCATAATATAAGCTCCCATGATTCTATACCAAGAAGAACACCAATTAATGTTCAACTGTAGACAAACATACAGGCAGTGTTGGGAGTAACTACTTACATGCAATTTAGTCAAATAATTTAATTATAAATAAATGTAAGTGTTATCTGTTAGTTAGGCCGACTGGTAATTAAATCACAATTTCTTATGAAAATGTTTAAGATGCCATCTGAATATTTTCTTTAAAAAGCTTGGCTAGATATTGAATAATATTCATTTTGTTGCTTTGCATGTATTTCATGTGCACATTGTCTTCCTTTGCCATTTCCAGCCACAGTTGTTTAGTAAAGTGTGATGCTGTTCTGATGCTTTTGTAAGTTATGTCAGCTGAGAAGTTTACAGCAGAAACTTGAAAATCTCAATTGTGGTGTTTACTTAATTAAATATTACACTGAGTGTGTTTTTACATTTATTCATTAATAAACTATAGCTCTAACTTCAAAAATATAACTGGTAATATTTGTAATTTAATTGAGTAGCCTATAGGCCATGAAATTATGCTATATTGTTGTATTATAGATATCAGGGACAACTTGAAGTTCTAGCCTCCCATCTTTAATTTTTTTTAACTGGCATGATGTTTACTTTTGGGTCTATTCTGTAGATTAAAATTGTGCTTTTATCATTTACTTTGTGTACCCAACTGTCATTTATAATATAAAAAATAGACCAACACCAAGCTACATGTTTTATTTACATCAATGTTTTCCTCATATTTGATGCTGCCATAAATGTTTTGTTTTTCAACAGTTAACCATTTTAAAACACAGCTTGAGAGGCAGTTTAATTGAGTGGTGGTGCTGCAAATTCAAACATGAGAACCAATCAAAAGCATCAGAACAGCAACAAACTTTACTAAACACTGTCAGCCTAACTGTAACAGATAACACTTACATTTACGTTTGTCTACAGTTGAACATTAAATGGTGTTCTTGGTATAGAATCATGGGAGCTTTATATTTATATGAGCATTAACAATAAGCTATGCAGAGTGGGAAATTACGTTTGAATCATTGTATAATAGTATGCTGGTTTCTCTTAGCGTAGCATCCCGATGGAAAATGAAGAACTTCACTGAGGATCTT